ACAGACACATAGATCAATGGAACAGAATAGAGAATCCAGAAATGGACCCTCAGCTCTATGGTCAACTAATATTTGACAAAGCAGGAAAGACGATCCACTAGAAAAAGGACAGTGTCTTCAATAAATGGTGCTGGGAAAATTGGACATCCACATGCAGAAGAATGACACTAGAGCATTCTCTTGCACCACACACAAAGATTGAAGAAACCTCCCCCCCTTGTAAGTAGGGCCAGCCCTAATCCAGAGGCAGCCCATCCAGTCTTCTTCCTGAAATTTTAGCAACTAAAAGCATTCTGTTTACAATAAGAAAACCGTTTCCCCCCCACACACACCCTGATTGGAATGTCCCTGAATAGGTTCATGTTGACCCTCCCCAAAATCAACCTGGATGCCATGCGACTCCCGCGGTTCTTTTGTCTTTAGGCAGTTTCTTTCCTTTTGCCTTTTAAAAGATCCCTGTAACTGCTAATCGGGGCTCTTTTCCTCCTCGGAGGCGGAGAGCCCGTTTGCGCAAACGCTCAATAAACCCTCTTGCTAATTGCATCTGCCTGTCTGGGGTCTGGGTCTCTGGGGTGTCCACCGGACCACGTTGGCACCCGTGAGCCAGGGTCCAACAAGATAAACTCAAAATTGATGAAAGATCTAAATGTGAGACAAGACTCCATCAAAATCCTAGAGGAGAACACAGGCAACACCCTTTTTGAACTTGGCCACAGCAACTTCTTGCAAGATACATCTATGAAGGCAAGGGAAACAAAGCAAAAATGAGCTATTGGGACTTCATCAAGATCAAAAGCTTCTGCACAACAAAAGAAGCAGTCAACAAAACTAAAAGACAACCTACAGGATGGGAGAGGATATTTGCAAATGACATATCAGGTAAAAGACTAGTATCCAAGGTCTATAAAGAACTTATTAAACTCAACACCCAAGAAACAAACAATCCAACCATGAAATGGGCAAAAGACATGAAGAGAAATCTCACAGAGGAAGACATAGACATGGCCAACATGCACATGAGAAAATGCTCCGCATCACTTGCCATCAGGGAAATACAAATCAAAACCACAATGAGATCCCACCTCACACCAGTGAGAATGGGGAAAATTAACAAGGCAGGAAACAACAAATGTTGGAGAGGATGCGGAGAAAAGGGAACCCTCTTACACTGTTGGTGGGAATGTGAACTGGTGCAGCCACTCTGGAAAACTGTGTGGAGGTTCCTCAAAGAGTTACAAATAGACCTGCCCTACGACCCAGCAATTGCACTGCTGGGGATTTACCCCAAAGATACAGATGCAGTGAAACGCCAGAACACCTGCACCCTGATGTTTCTAGCAGCCATGTCCACATTAGCCAAACTGTGGAAGGAGCCTTAGTGTCTACTGAAAGATGAATGGATAAAGAAGATGTGGTTTATGTATACAATGGAATATTCCTCAGCCACTAGAAACGGCAAATACCCACCCTTTGCTTTGACGTGGATGGAACTGGAGGGTATTATGCTGAGTGAAGTAAGTCAATCAGAGAAGGACAAACATTATATGGTCTCGTTCATTTGGGGAATATAAAAAATAGTGAAAGGGAATAAAGAGGAAAGGAGAGAAAATGAGTGAGAAAAATCAGAGAGGGTGACCCAACGTGAGAGACTCTTAACTCTGGGAATGGAATAAGGGGTAGTGGAAGGGGAGGTGGGTGGGGGGGTGGGGTGACTGGGTGACAGGCACTGAGGGAGGCACTTGACAGGATGAGCACTGGGTGTTATACTATATGTTGGCAAATTGAACTCCAATAAAAAGAAAGAACACAACACAAAATGGACTTCAACTGGCAAGGACCTTACAGACTAGGAGACAGACATTTACCTCATAATACAAGGTCCAAATGATTAAGAGTGGGAAGGGAAGCAAGGGTCCCTGGAGGGCCAGTGAGAGGAAATGGAAAAATAACAGGCACAAGGGACAGAGTAACCTAGCAGGCTGTCCTAAAGGGGGTTAAGCTAATTATGGGGTGGAATGTCTTTAGGGCAAAAATCCATGGAAGTCAAAGAGTGCCACCTAAGACACCTTAGAAGAATCCTTGGATTTAGCAGTTATTTATTAACTTGAGAGGAGGGGCAGAGAAAAGGAAGAAGAGTGAAAAATCAGTGCCAGGGGAATCCATGGGAACAGTGAGAGGCAATTTGGATGAGGAAATGCATGTAAGGTTTTTTGTCAGCTCCAAGGAAGTGAAAATGCAAAGTGAGAAAATCAGAGTTGCGGGGGAGAAATTCAGGATTTGCTTTTGAAAAGGGGAAAACCCAGGGGGCCTTGGTATCAGGGCAATTAGTAGGCAGCACGTCCCCAGCAACTGCTGTCATTGTGCAAACGCTTATTTCCACAGCACTCTGTAAACTCCCTGAACTGGCTCCACCTCCCATGCTCCCCAAATTCTTGAACTCTCCCACTGGACCCCAGGGAACAACGCAGCAGTCGTCAGAGATTCTTCTATCCAACCAATTACCTAGGGTCTAACAGACACTTCAAACAGCAGGGCCATAGCAGAAGTCTTGATCCAAAGGCCCTCCACTCCTCCTCCCCGCCCCGCACCCAAGCACCCAAGCCCCCTTCCAAAATCACTTGGCTGTCAAGCCTTGAATCTGAATAAATCCTACCCACAGATATTCTGTTGATTAGCCAAAAATCTAGGCTTCATCTTCTATTTCTTTCTGTCTCTCACTCCTGCATTAGTAGGTTAGCTGGCTCAATATTCATATTATATCCTGAAATTGGCCGTTTCTCATCGTTTCCCCTGCCACAACCACTGTCCACATGCTCCTCTTTTCTCACCTCTGCCACTGTAATAGCCATTTATCCCTGCCTCCTCCCTTGACCCCTGGGTCTACCCCCAAGTGTCAGGATGTCTCATCCTCTGTGGAAAATTCCCCAGCTAGCATGAAATATGAACTGCTTGCCATGCCTCCAAGCCCAGGGAGCCCACTCATCATTCGTGTTGGAACTCCTATGTCACCACCTCAGAGTCCCCAGCCCAACACCCCCGCTAAGGTAGCTCTGAAGTCACTGTCTCCCACACCACCTGATGTTATCTTCTCTCTATGGCATCTATTTGGTGCCTGCCATATCTCAAATGTTTCCTTTTTTTAAAAGGCAATATATATATATATATGGAAAGATATGTATAAGGAAACATATACTTCTAAAAATTATATATTTACCCCCAGTAAAATGTAAAGGTTGTGAAAGAAGGGACTCTTTCAAGTTCATCATATGTCCCTAACAGTCTGAGGGCTGGCACATAGAAGGTGCTCAGAAAATATTTTTGACTAATAATAATCTAGGAATTAAGGCTATTGGTCACACCCTTAGCTTATTGACCTTAAGCAATTTTCTATCAAAACTGGATGGCACACTGAGGTGGGCACTTGACGGGATGAGCACTGGGTGTTACTCTGTATGTTGACAAATTGAACACCAATAAAAAATAAATTTATTAAAAAAAAACCTGGATGGCAAAAAAAAAAAACTGGATGGCAATGATCCCAAAGTTACCGACAAATCTATAATTCTTATAATATCTTACAAAGTCTTTTGTCAGTTCTTTCCATCTCAATGATCATTTCAATCTCGAGAGAAGATATTATAGTCTCATGGGACTTGGAGCCTTTGCCATCAGCCATTGTGTTCTTTCCTTGCTCTCTCATCAGATCTCCTTGTCTCACTCTGATGACTTTGTCATTCTCTGTGCATCTACATCAGGGAAAGTTAAGTGTGATTTTAGCTCCAACATGAAGACGAACAGTTGACCAAGATCATACCTGATTGTCTTTCTGGAATACATTTTATTTGTAACAAATATGTATATATAGGAGATTTGTGAAGATCTAATACTTCCTGATATGATAAACCCAGTACAAAAGACTCCAACAGATTTGTTACCAGAAATAAGATCCACAATACACTGAAGTTTAAGAGCAAAGTGTTTGGTTGAGTTAACTCACTCAGCTCATCCCTTTGACAGCCTTGAGTTAGATATTATGGCACAGATGTAAGCAACATGACGTAGATGTTCATAAGTGGTGTGTTGTCATTTAAGTTATAATCCTGAACTAAGGTCACTGAAATTTCATTACAATGTTTTCTAGGCTAAAGCTACAGAATAATACTCATTACAAGAGAGAGAGAAAAATAGAGATTGAATTAATCCTGAAAATGCTACTTGGAGAAAGAATACATACTCAAAATAGTAGAAAAAAATCATAAACACTTCAAGTAAAATTATACTTTTCAAAAGTGGAAAATAAGAAATTATGTCATTTAATTCACTTTATAAAAGATAAAGAAAATACTGGAATGCCGAATCAGTGTTACCTTAATGTGAAAGAGTATCCTTTCATTCTTCATTTTCACTAAGGTACCAGGTTGTGATAATTTGATATTATCTACATATTAGGTGCTCCACCTTAGTAAGATTATGTTTGTCATTTTTTATGTCAGTGGAGACTATTTCTACACAGACACCAAGGAATGTTGAAATGAAAACATTTGTTTAGAGGTCATGATGTCCAAATAGGCAAAAAATAAATTCTTCTAAGACATTTGTTATTTTGGATGATCCCTCACTGCTTTGTTGTACATTAATGAAGTTTATAGAACACCCATGGTAATATGCTCTTTGAAAGATGTAACTTCTTTGCCTTATCAATATCTTGAAAGCAGATATATAATTCAGCCATTTCAAAATTGTATACTTCCTTTTGTTAATAATTCTTTGCTATCACCAAATATATTAATAACAATCTCTCATAAATGACACTTCTGACACATTCATGAAGTGTCCATTTCTCACTGAAAGAAATATCTGCTTTTCATATTGGTAAAAAATACTTATGTATACCCCAAGTACTGCATCACATCAAATGGAAAGTGATTTTTTAAAATAAATATTTTATTTATTTATTTGAGAGAAACAGTGCAAGAGAGCGAGAATGAGTGGGGGGCGGGTGGTGCAGGGGAAGGCAGAGGGAAAGGGAGAAGCAAGCTCCCCAGAGGGACTGCTGTGGTCGTGACCTGAGCCAAAGGCAGGTGTTTAACCCTACTGAGCCACCCAGGTGCCCCTGGAAGGTAGTTTCATTCCCCATTTATATTAAGAGTCATCTTCAAAGTGTCTTGCTAGTTCACTGTGTTTCATTTTCTCTGTGAATAGTTCATCAAATACTCTCCTCTGCTTTGAAGTAAAGTAGTTTATCCAATCACCCACTGCTCCTGGAAAAAGTGGAAACATATCAGATAAGAACCAATTTAAATATATAGCATTCACCAAAAAAAAAATCTGTCAGATTTGCAATAAAATATGAATGATATCATTTCTTGGTGATAAGTACCAGGGGATTATTCTTTTCTTCATTTGCTTACTTGTTGCTTCTAATTTCCTCAGTAATGGTTGCATAATAATATACACAGTTTAGAAAGTTATTTCTTAAAAAGAAAAGAAGATTAAAATATATAAATATCCTAGGTTTTATGCTAGCAGGCAAGAAATGTCTCACCTAACTTTAGTTAAACCATAGAAGGTTTTAAAAGGCCTGGGTGGTGCAGTCCGTTAAGCACCCAATTCCTGGTTTCAGGTAGGTTGAGATCTCAGGGTTCTGGGATCAAGCCCCATGTGGGGCTCCACGCTCATTGCTTGAGATTCTCTCTCCGTCTCCCTACCCCTCCTGCTTGTGCTCTCTCTCTCTCTCTAAAATAAATAACTCTTTTAAAAATAAAACATAAAAGCAGACAAAGGGAACATAATGATGTCACTTTTTTCCCCACCTATGCACCTGTGAAGCAATAACTGTGCTGATAACATATCACAGGGCTGGGTAATTGGTCTCTCTCTCTTCCTTTTTTTTGATTCAAGTATAATTAATTTACAGTGTTATAGTAATTTCAGGTGTACAGTGCAATGATTCAGCAATTTTATATATTACTCAGTGTTCATGATGATAAGTGTACTCTTAACCCCTTCACCTATTTCACCTTAATTGGTCTTACATTAGGGAGATTAATTTTGCAATATTGATAACAGAGAGTTGGAAATACCATTGCCAAGTTACTTGCATGATGTCCTCCCCTCCCCTCCCCTCCCCTCCAGTTACACACCATCTTTCCATATTAGCACTTCTATATCTACAGTGAAAGTTGTGGGGGGCAGAATAAGACTGCTTGGATTCAAATCTTGACTCTACCAGCAACTAGTTGCATGATGTTGGACAAGTTATTCAGCTGCTTGGCATCTTAGTAAAATGTAAATAATATGAATATCACCCTCAAGAGCCTATTGTCAAGTTTAAGATAAATCTAGTAACATGCCTGGCACATAGTAAGCTCAGTAGGTTCCAGCTATTCTCACTCAATAGTTTTCATGATTCCATAGTAAACCCCTGCATGAATGTGATTTAATACATTTAACAGTTTCTGGTTAGAGGCCAATTAAGTGCATTTGAGGTTTTCAATGTTATGAGCAATATTGCAGCATGCATCCTATCTCTACATCTTTCCACAGCCCTAAGAAATTAATAGGTTCCTCAGTAATTTCCCCCTTAAATTTTAGTATACAGGGACCCTTAGGCTTCTGAAACTTATGTGGACTACTCTGTATCCTTGCCTGTCACCTTATCTCCATGTCCACCATTGTCAGTTTCTAGAATATCAGCTCCCAACTGCAGGCATAAATTCTCCTCCATAAAGTGAGGATTATCTCTTGCACCAAGGAGTCTGCATCATTGACTTCTGTAGTTCATTTGAAATGATTATTTTCAGAGGATGGATCCCAACCCCACCCCCCCCAGCCAATAGAAGGAATACAGTGAATAATCCATTTAATTCTTGTGTTTAATTCTTCATATAGTCCAAATTTAACAATAGGCACTCATTGTGACTAGTATCAGTGAGGATGTTTTCACTGTTGACTTTCTGTGTTTTGTCAGATCCTATACAAAGAAACTACTTTAAGATAGAATTTAAATTCATTAGAATTAATGTTATTAGCTAAGATTAAATTATATTGATATGGTTTCATTTGGGAATATTTGCTAGTGTCATTTGTATGGCAGGCCAAAGACTACCTCTCTTCTCTTTAGAGTAAAATTTCTCAAGTTGGTAGGGTAAGATGGGTGGAAACTGAGGATTTTGCTAATCATATGTCAAAGGACAGTGATAAAAGATATCAAGAGTAATCAAGAGTATCACTGGATTCCATGAAGCATCAGAACTTTCTCATCTCTCATCATTCTCTTGACCATAATCCCTCCCAATCTGTCTCTCATCTCTTTGCTTGTTTCACCTCTCTTCATGCATCCTTTCCTAAATCCTTTCTGTCTTCCCTTTATTATCTCTCTCCCACTCATCCTAATCTTTTTCTTGACCCTCCCATGTCATCTGGTTCTTGTCCTCCATTTTCGAACTTCTTGGAAGAGGGGTCCTTATTTGCTGCTTCCCTTCTTTCTCTCTCTCATCTCTTCAATCCTGCATTCTGCCTCCCATCGCCACCACTATGGAAACCACCAACAGAATTCATGAATGATACATGGCCATGTTTGACCCCAGCTTTCTTTGTAATTCTGGTAGTTTCATTTTTTTGGCTCATCTCAGCTGTTTCACTCCCATTGATGTTAGCATCTCTAGGGTTTCCCCTTCTAATCCTTTCTCCACTAGCCCTTCCCACTCATCCTGAATAATTTTGCTTCATTCCATAAACTGCCAATAGCTCCTAAATTGACTTCTGAGCTGAGTTCCACTCAACAGTGGCTCCCTGATAAGGCCCAAGTTCTGACCCTCAATGTTTCATACCTGGACTATTACAATGACCTCTTACTGGACTTTCTGCCTCTGGTGTCACCCTCTTCTAAACAACTTTCCACCCTGCTCTATTATTTTCAGGTCCCTTCTTAGAGCAGCAAATAGACCAGGGGGAGAAAAAGACCCCCTCATAACATGCATCAGAACTTTTGTTCTCTGGCCCCAATTTTTATCTCCCTGATTCTGCTCCATGCATCATATACCCTCTAGCACAGGAGACTATCTGCTCTTTCTAAAAAAAAAAAAAGCACAGTCCAATTCCCTGGTGGTTTTGAGCTTTTCTTCTTGCTGTTAGCTGTTGCTGGAATGTATTTCTTCCCTCTCATTTTCCTGGTAAGATCTTGCTCATGCTTGCAATCCCAGATCCTATGTCATCTCCTCACCACCTACTTTGTTATGAAAAAATTCTCTTTCCCATATTCATGTTACTGTTCACATTTGCTTATACTACTAGCACAGTTATTATCACCTACTACTGTTTTACATTGTGATCTTCTGAGGGACGAGACTATTTTATTCAATTTTTGAATCTTAGTTCTTAGAAAAGAGTTTATTAGTAAATATTTGCTGAATTGAGTTCTTCCTCTCTCCCAGGCCTGGTTTTGCAACTATGAGAAAATAAAAAATGAACCACCAAAAAAGACAAAGTAATTTGCAAAGTTAAGGCACTATCTGATCCATATGAGTTAGTGAATAGTTGCTTTGGGAGGAATTATATTCAGATGAGCCAAAAAATGGAAACAAAGGTGTGTTTTCTAGTAAGATACCTGAGTATCTAATTGCAGAAAATCTTGTTATTATAAGTTCTGTAAGATCCAGGGAGGATCTGGACTAAAACTCACATGGATTTCAACACAATTCCATATCCGGATGTTCTCAAACTGGTTCTAAGTTAAATGTTAGGAAGTAGTGGATTTTTTTCCTTCTCTCTGGGTTTTCATGTAGAAGAAGGTCCTGAGATAACACTTCTAGCTACTCTGTCTACCCCTAACTTCTGCGGGGACAGTTATTTGATCAGTTTACGAAAGTGCACTGTCCACCCTCATCAGCTCCCTTCTGTCTTCTGAAGAAAACATGTGTCATGTACTGCTCTTCCATGCTCTATGGGGGCTGTCTCAATGCAGGGACAAGACTGCATTTGGTTGTGTCTAAGCAAGCACATTTGCAAAATTTAGGATAAGTTATTAGCAAACATTCTAGGCTGCAGACCTGAGGCCCATTCTTCAAGGAGCTTTATAATTTCCATCTATCTGTTTGACACGCATGTCTTTCCCTCAGTTGGTTCCTATCTGGGCATGGACATCTCAATGTCTGGAAATAATGCAATTTAAGAAATTTGTTTAGTTAAATATTCACTGAGGGATGACAATAAGCGATCCATTGTGCAAGAGAGGGTGCACGATGGTGAAATTTAAATGGTAAAATGGAACTACTTCCAAATACAAGTCCTAGGGATATAAAATACCACATCCCTTTCTGACTTACCTTTCCGAAATACCAGGTTCCTATTGGATGTGAGGGCACAGATGGTATGATTTGGATCACAGTTTTCTTTGGCCGCATTATTTTTCATTTCACTGAATGACGTCTTCTGAGCAATCTTATTAATTTCACTGTCATTCACATTTATACCGAGGAAAGTAGTTATTTTCTTTATGCTTTTAGAAGGATCCTGAGCAGCAAGAAAAGTTATTCTTTAAAAGTGTAATTCATCAAAACACCAAATTCATTTTCTCAACCCTGAAAATAGAATTTATTGATTTCCTGTTTTAACTTAATTTTACTTAAATTTTGATTGTTGAAATGTTAGAAAGGACTTACTTTCTTCATTTCTTCATAGAATATAATTAGAATGTTTTTATCATTTTTGTGTTCTTCCCAGCTTAAAACATGATCAAACCAGGATCCATATACAACTAGAAGGAAAAATGAATGGTGTTAATATTCAAGATCATGGCTTGGCATCCCAAGGTTCTTCCTACTTCAACAAAGTAGGCAAAGTAAGGCACACATGTATTAGACTCTAGAATGAAAAAGTTTTACATAAGAATTGTTGAATCACTGAAGTGTACACCTGAAACTAATATAACACTGTAAATTAATTATACTGGGTTTAAAATTAAAAAAAAAAGAAAAGAAAATGTTAATTATATATGTTAATACCTGTCTTCTACAGTAACAATGTGTCATTCATTATCTATGAAGGAACTTATAATTAGGTTTAATAAAATTCAATAATTAAAAATTAAATAAGATCTTAAAATATTTAAATAAAAGAGTTTTCCTTAGAAGAGCTCAGTTTTAAAACACTACTGTTTTGGGACACATAGGTAGTTAAGTGATTGAGCTTCTGCCTTCAGCCCAGGGCGTGATCCCAGGGTCTGAGGATTGAGTCCCGCATCAGGCTCCCCTCAGAGAGCCTGCTTCTCCCTCCGTTTATGTCTCTGCTTCTCTCTGTGTGCCTCTCATGAATAAATAAAGAAAATCTTTAAAAATGAAATAAAATAAAATAAAATGAAACACTACTGTTTCTAAATACAGTATTGTGAAATGAAATTGGATGGCTATATCTCTTAATAAGGCTGTGTTGTTTTTTTCTTTGGTAGTATCTTTTTATCATCATCAGAAGTGACAGTAGAAATACAGTAGAAATACAGAGATACCCATTTTCTCAGTAATTATGTTCTGCTAACTACTTTGGATCTAGGGGAGAAATAGAGAAACATTAAGAATTTATTATTTTCTTCCTGCAAAGTGACACGCTTTTTATAAGCTCTTAGCAGAAAAAGTTTATAAACTTCCTCAAAAAGGGGTGGGGTAAGAAAAGTGAAAAGAATTCTATTTATTTATCTTAGTTCAAGGCTGAAAAATACAGAGTTAGGGCTTTACCAGTAGTTGATATTATCTCTTTATTGTTTTGTTAATTTGACAGACCTCAAAAATCTCTGGGGCTTAAAAGTAAAATATGATCATGCAAAACAAATTATCAACAGTGATGATAAAAAACAAAAAGTGAGCAACTTCTTGTATGACAGAAAGTTGACTAGCTTGACAATCTAAAACATCAAACATAGTAACTTAAAATGCTACATATACATCTTTCCATGCACCCCTATTATCCACAGATCTAATACTAGCTAATGTCCAAATTATAAAAGAGCTCCTCTGCTCGCAATTTTCTGAAGATCCGCTATTGATTTATTTAATAAGCATTTATGAAGCCATTAGTGTTTGCCAGGCATTGTGCCATATAAATTTTGAACATTAAAGTTTTGACTAAATTGATGTATCATTAACTCCTAACTAACTGCAATTTCTCACAGTATCGGCTCCTAAGGAAGTAAAGGGCAAGAAAATAACCATAATGCATTTGTAAAACTAGGACATCAAGCACTGCCATGGTATCATCACAGAGCCTGGTTTTCTAACCTGTGGACCCAGAGGGCTGTATAATTAAGAACGGGTGTTTGAAAGGGCTGACACATCTTCGGTTACCAACATTCTCACTGCCAGTTCAGTGACTTACATAAATACTTTATCTTAGAATGACCCAAGTACCCTATCAGTGATAGGGAGTTTACCTTCTAAGAACAGGCCAGTCTTTTCCCAGGAACAAACACCTGGTGGGATTTTCTCTCCTAGGAATTTATCGAGTGAACGAGTCTCTGTTACTTCAGACTATGCTCCCAGTCTCCACCTGTGTCACCACCTCCCCTAGGCAGAGGCAGCTCAGCCCAGCCCTGGTGGGTGACATCACCACCAGGAGATGCTGATGCAATGGAAGCCCTCAGGACTGTCAGGGAGCCCAGGCTTCTGTGATTGCACGGCTGGGTGTGGAAAGAGGCCACATGTCACAGTGTTTCAGCTGGTAGTTAGCTGTAATGGACTTGGGCCACGATGGTTTTTCAGGAGGAAATGCATGCCTACATACCCCAAATGGATTTAAGAATAATCTTTTCGGTGATAGCCCGATCATCATTTGAGAGCCAGCTATTCTCTTATTAACTCATTAATTTACGTTCCATCTTGTTCCAAAAAGACAAAAGAATGTAAAGAAATTGGCTGCCTGTCTCTTCCTTACCAATATACAGAATAGCACTTTGGGTTAATTTTTTAATCAGAATCCTCATTGTCTAGACCTATGGTTTTAAAGGAAGTATAGCTTCCAAAACGGAGACTTCAAATATTTCTTTTATGGGAAACACTTTTCTCTGCATCCTTCACTTAATGACAGAATTTTCTATCACCTCCTGTCCTAAACAGATACCTGGATGGCCTTCCTTTGTTATCCAGAATTACTTGTTCCCCTAACATGCCCCCCCCCCCAACAGAAGTCACTCTTTCTCAACCAACCCATGCGTTTTAGGCATGGATTATGCAGCAGCAATCTCACCACTTCCTATCGATTTGCAGAACCCCTCCCTCTTAGATAATACAGGCTCCTTTAAGACTCGTGTTCTTTGAATATCACTCTTCCTAGCCTTATCTGGGTCAGAAATGGACTTTCTGATCTGCCTCCTGCAGTCACAGAAGACTGGTTTTACACCACAACGCCCTGGGGACAGGGCAAGTCTTGCCACCAACACTTTGAGGGACAGCTTCTGCAAATACCCCATGGACCATTTGTGTCCTTTTTAATCTTCATTTTCCTTCCCCTTGTTCATCTCCTCAACAGTTTTCTGGCCCAAACTTTCAACTTCCTTGCTCCCCCACTGCTTATTTCAACAACACCTGAAAAACACTCTGTATTGAATCAGAACACTTAACCTTCTGCTGAAGGAATTTAGACAAGTCTGTATTGACACCACTGCAAATCCATTTTTCTAGCCTCAAGTATCCCAGGGTTGCCTGGCAAACCTATTTGTCCTGCACTGACACACTCTTCTATTCTCCACATCAACTATTTCAAACCTCCCACACTTTCTGCAAACCCTCTGCCCTGTTCTGATCCAGTTACAAAGAACATTTTAATTTCTAGTTTCTAGAAAGCACTCTGATGATAGATGACTGTGCACAAATTCTCCAAGATGAAGTGCCTAGAAAATATGGAGTTCTTATATAAGACTGGAGAGGAGGCTAACAGAGAAAAAAGTATGACACTAAGATATTCATTTCATTGAGATATTAATCTGTCAAGATGTTGCCAGAACACAGCTTACTGTTTTATTTGAAAACTTAAAATGTATTTGGAAGCTGTCTGAAAGGTAAATTAAATGATAAGATAAATGTGTAGCTATCTATGTCTTTATGGTACTGTCTTCTCATATAATGTGTATATATTTATGGTTTGGAAAAAGACATATATATATATATATTTTACAGTTTGGAGGATATCATGATGCCTCAGTTGTAAAATAATGTTTCTAGATGAATGCCTGCTTGTAAAATTTCTGCCCTAAAATGAAACTATACATCCAATAGAGTGAGTAGATTTCTATAGTCAATTTTTAGTCGTGACTTCATTTGAACACCTAAGTAATCCTACAAAAATCCAAACCTCAGAATGATCAAGCAATTTGTCCACAGTCACACAGGGAATAAGTTTTAGTCAAGACTTGACTCCTGTTGTTCTAGCTCCATAGTCTGTTTTTCTACTATATCATGTTGTCATTGGCAAGAGAAAGTATCCTCTCCTCAAAAAGTCACTGAAGAACATCCCTGAAATACAGTCACATATATTTAACAGGAGAACAGACAACTTCATTTTATAAATACCATAAATGCCGTTCCCACTTAAGTAAATTTTAAAAAGTTTTAGCAATTCACTGACTACTCTTAGTGTGGACAGGGCTTGGCCAGGTTAGATTACCTGATTGTATAATACACAGCAGATCATTTTACAATTAAAAATCTATTAGCATACCTAAGAAAGTATAAAAGACTCATCTGGAGCATTTTTTCCAACTGACTGCCTTTCCCAGATGTTCTGCTATGACATCAGATAATGTGGTGGTAGCAAAGGTAAATGCCCTAGGACAAAGCTAGTTTGCTTCCCTGCATATGGACTGAGTTGCCCTGTCTGTGGATATATTCATAGAGAAATAATATCCAGAAGAAGAGCACTAACAGGCCTACTTTACTCTGCCCTAGTCAGACCATACCCAGAAGATGTTTTTTTGTCTTCTGGGCACTGCAAAACCATAGAGATGTAGCCAAATTAGAGCTCATGCAGCAGTGAGAGGGGTAGTGAACCCAGGTGTATAATAATTGGAGACAAACGTGGCTTTTCTTTTCCTGAGGAAAAGCAGACTCAAGATCTGGGTTGTTTTTTTTTTTTTTTAAATAAATTATGTATCTAAACTCTGTTCATTCCAAAAATGGAATTGAGGCAGAGTGAGGCATGCTAACTATCTCCAAATATTTAGAAGGCTATGGTGTAGAGGAGGAATTCATGATCAGAGGACCAGTTTTCTTGTTGGATGAGTTATGCCACAGTGGTAACAGCAAAGATTTTGGAGCTGACACCTGAATTTAAACTGTGGCTCCTTACGAGTGATTCATCTGGACAAGTTATTTGGCCTCCCAACATCTGCATTTTCCTCACCTGTAAAATAAGGAGAACATCTAGCTCGTGTGTTCTAGTAAGGATGATAGGAGATCGTGTTTGCCTAGCACTTAGCTAAGTGTCTATATTACATAATAAGATTTTTTTTTTAACATCTTAGCAGTACCAAGATGGAATATGTCATTTGGGGACAGGAGCTGGGGGTGTGAACCTGTTGTCAAAGTTAAGGAGTTCAAGTTTAGCCCGTACAACTCTTGGCAAAGGTGATTCAAACATCAGGTGGGTGTTTTAACCTGATGATCTTTAATAGACATGTCATTCCTGAAATTTTATGACTCTACTAAATGCTTGCAAAAAAGGAGAGGAAATATTGTGAGTATAGTATATTATCCCATAGGGAATAAGTCAAAAGAAAGTGTTAAACTTTGTTGCTAGCAAGTTCTCAACATCCTCATGTTAAGGTTATACTTGCTGTGGCCTCTCTGAAATTAACAAGTAAAAGCTTAATAATTTACAAGTGAAATAGCGCAACTAATAATTAAGCAGATTTACCTTTAAACCCAGTGAGAGATAAGATCCTGTGGGTACACAATGTTTCTAAATCATGCCTCTTCTAAATTCTGCATTGTCTTGGTTTATTATTTTTGTTTAATGAAAGCTTAGGAACTCAGGCTTTTTGGGTTTTGTTTTTAAGTGTTTAAGTTCTTCAGATACCAGTGAGTTAGAGAAAAAGTAATAAATTCAAAGGCCATGCACGGTTAAGCAGGATCAATATCCGTTGCACAGCTCAATCAAATGATATATCATTTTAGTATTTTCAGCAAAAATTGCTTTTTGTTCATCTTTATAAGCCAAGTGTCAAGATGGCTAATTCTTTCATTTGTTTTGTTTGGGGATTTTTTTTTTTCCTCTTTGGGATGTGGAGGGAGAATTTTGGTTTTTTTGTATGTGTATCATTTGTTGGTGTTTTCCATTTAGGTATATTTAAGATATGTTTTGGGCTGCCCGTGCAGGTTTCAACTGTATCTTGCTATACTCCAATCAATGCATAATTATTTCACTGACAAGACTAATGGCATGTATAAAAAAAAAGCGATGCCTGATTGGAATTAATTTTTGTTTTAAAAACATTGCAACCAGCTCAATAAGTAATTGCAAATCCATACTACCCACAGGTGATAAGAAAGTCTATGAAGAAACAAAGTGAGAAAAAATGGCTTAGAAGTAAAAGAATAATCTATGCAAATGTGTTTCTGAAAGTAGGCCCTTAGGATCCAGTTAAACTTTTGGAAAATGCTTTCAAATGATTAATAGAAATCATTGTTATATTTACCATCTCCTCTTAGGAAAAGCTCAAAAAATGCAGCCCAGGTTTCAATGCCAGGGAGATTCGGGTTATCTCTGTAGTAGTGGAATAAAGAAACGGCCGTATCTTTTGGATTCCTAATGATGTAGATAATCTGTTAAAAAAATCAGTTTATTTTTAGATGGAAACAGCCCCCACACAGAATGTTTCCTTAAAAAAGCAACTGGACTTACCTCTGCAAGCAGTGATTTGTTGGCAGCTTATGCTGATTATTGAGCCAGACTCAGGCCAGTGATTCTCTAATGCTATTGTGCAAATGAGTTGTCCAAGAATCTTGCTAAAATGCAGATTCTGATTCAGGGGTCCAGGATGAGGCCTGGCATAATCTGCATTTTTAATCAGCTCCTGGCTGGTGTTAGTGCTACTAGTCCACTGACCACACTTTTTCAATTTATGTGTTAACTGTGGTCCTATCTTTTCAGCGGTAGACACAAGAAACCCTCTATTCTTTTGTTGAATGTGAGCACTTTTTTAATATAAAAAAATTTAACATGATACAATTTAAATAATTTCAATGTTATAAAACATGATTTAAATACACTATGGGGCATCTGGGTGGCTCAGCGGTTGAGCATCTGCCTTTGGCTCAGGTCGTGATCCCGGAGTCCTGGGATCAAGTCCTGCATCAGGCTCCCCATGGGGAACCTGTTTCTCCCTCTGCCTGTGTCTCTGCCCCTCTCTCTGTGTCTCATGAATCAATACATAAAATCTTTTTAAAAAATAAAATAAATGAATAAATACACTAAGATTTCTTTTAAATTGTCTATTCTTATTTATAGGAAGAATGATGTTTTGGCATTTCATTTTCTCCAGTTTAATCCCCACAGAGTAGGGAATCTGAGCCACCCTCCTAATTAACACAAACACTGCCATTGCAATCTGATTCAATTCAATAAATTTTTGTTTAGTACCTACCAGAAACCCAGCAGAACAGAATGTCCTAGGTCTAAGACATATGTGCAAGACAGAAATGTTACCCGCTCTCTCAAAATGGTCAGGTAAGGGAATGCAGTGTCATGAAGGTTGTAACTGGGGAGGTACAGAGTACATGCAGTCCGAACATATAAAAAACCTCCAGAAAACAGTGAGAGACGCTGAGTGTAGTAGGACTATCTTCGATCATGGTCAATGTTGCATGAGTACTAGATGTTCCACTTGCTCTTAAATCGATATTCAGGTGGACGCATACTACGTAGGTAAGAAAGCGTTTATTGAGTCATGTTTAATACGTAACTATCTTTCTGTACTGTGTTCATAGTCCACCTGGTCCTCCTCACTTGAGAGGTGTAAAGGCCACTGTGCAGAGAACTGAAGAGCCAGCTCTCTCCCCGGCTCTGCCCCCATTAGCCTTTCTTCATCTCCAGAGAGAATTGTGGAGTAACTCAACATTTCACGCTCTCTCTAACTGCTCTCTGCATTCTGAGCAGATTCACAGAACCCCAAGGCTCTGAAAATCCTTTAAAAATCGACTCACTGTCTTAATAAAAAGAGATAAAGTGGCAGATTTTTAGGCCTTAGCCATGAAGTTGGAGTTTTTTGTCTGTTCGTTTCGGGAGAGAGGAGTGTCCTAGGGCCTTTGGAGAATACCCAAAGTTACATGTCAGTATTATCCAGTGGGAAAGACAATGCAAACTAGTAACACAGATACAAACTATTAGTACAATATATACTAATTAAGACAATACAAACTATTAACACAATATATACTAATATTGAGCCATTAAGTGGTACATCTGAAATGAATACAATGTTTTATGTCAATTATACACAATAAACACACACATACAATACTCTAAGAAATCTGAGGGGTGGTTGAAAGATATGCAGAGAAAGCAGAATAGTACTCTGAGAAAAAACCTAAATATTAACTAAGTATCATGAAATGAGCTAAAAACATAAATTTCATGTAAGAGAGTTTGGAAACCATAAAAAGGAGGTGGGGGAGACAAAGATTAGGAAATAGACATAGGAGGCTAAGTAGGGTCGAGGGCTGGTAGGGAAAGATCACAAGAGGAACTGACTATCTGCCAGGCCTGCTAGAGCAGGGAAGGTTCCAGTAGCCCCTAAGCTTTGAGAGCTAGGCAGGAAGCAACAGAAGACAGGTCACCATCTGGGGAAACCAGGTACAACCAGAGAGCTTCACTCCCCATCAGGGTTGTACCTTAAGGCTCCATCTTTACTGTGGCGGTTTTAAGAAGCACCCTAACCTTTCAGAGCTTGAGTTTCTTTGCTTATGAAAGGAAAACCATCTACTTTTGTCTTTGTTGTCATGTGTTTATAAAACACAGTGTAACTTCTGACAGCCCTTTGTTATCATTGCTGTTGCGTGGCCCTGAGTAAGGGTTATTGAGCTTACCAGACTCCTTTTATCCCCAAATCTCTTTCCTCTCTCTCTCTCTCTGAGTTTGTTTGAAATAAAAAGACTCAGTTAAGTGAAATCCAGTTAGTTTATGCTAATCAAGTTAGTATGACTTCATCTCTTCTGTCTGGTAGATTTGCTGGGGGTAAAGGTAACACTGTAGGACATTTGTCTCTGGTTGATTGTGTTTACTTTCGTTTGGGAAGAGGACTAGATGGTGTGCATGGAGACCTTGTGGTTCTAGAGTTACAATCATAGGAAGATCTGCTTTGATTTATGCACACTTGACTGGTAGGTTACTTTTGTTTTTACTTTTAGACTATGGCTAACACTATTTAAACAGGATTCATTACTGGAAACTTGCTACAGTGGACACATGTATCTTGCTTTTGCTTTTCAAATATACACATTTTCTCATCAAAACAGAATTTTGGAATGCTCCTTACACAGGTATCTGTAAAGAAAATAAAATCCAACCCTCATGCCATACCATAGCAAACCACTCGTTATGTTGATACATTTACATTTAGTCTTTTTTTTTAATGCATGTGTATGTGTATTTTAAATAATTGAGATTATCAAGTATATATGGATTGAAAACATGCTTTCTCCATAACCTTAGTCCATAAACATTTTTCCATGAGAACATAAATTTGAGTAAGAAACATATGAAAATATTCTTTTACATTATCATTAACTTTTAAAATAATAATAATGTGTGCACTTAAAAAGAGCCTGAGTTATATATTCTTTCATGTCTTATACACAATTTATTTTTTATTCTTTTCCTATATAATCCCTTGCAAAAATGATAGATAAAATAATATTAAGGCAACTTTTCTTTCCCTTGACATCAATATTTAAAGAAAAAGGCAAAAACCAGATTCACAGACTAGAATAAGACATTGTCTAGTGTAATTATGGGTGACATGCCAATGTTGCATTCATATTTCTTTCATTACTAAAAGATTATTAAATCGTTTTTGTGTGCTAGATACTGAGGCACCTATATATTCATTATCTTATTTAATCTTTGCCATATAATATGCAATGGATACTGTTGTTTCTGTGTCAAATGAGGAAACCAAGGCTCAGAGAACATTAGCAATTTTCCAAGGTCACACAGCTTGAGAGTGGCAGAGCAAGAACCCAAGCCCAGTTTTCTGATCCTCCCAAATCTTTGTTCTTAACCACTGAACTCACCTTGCATTGTTTTTGTTTAATATTCACTGGTAGCATGTTGTAGCTCAAATGCGTGGGAATAACTCTTCTCTTAGAGTTCATTTTTAGCTCGTCAAAGTTAGAAATGTCTCCCAACTCAATGGGAGATGTAAGACTCATTCGAGCATTGGGAATGTTCCCAATGACTTCTGCAATCCAGTGAGTGCCTTGACACAAAAATGAGACAAAAAGCATTTTTTAAATTAAATGAAACTCTTAAAAAAATAAGTAAATGAAAGTCTTAATGACATAAATATAGAAAATTAGCATGAGGTTATAATAGCAAGGAATGCATTAATTTTGTTATAAATAGTTATTATTACCTCTTGACACCCATTGAAACCAGAGACACCAGTTGAAATGCTTGAGACGTTAATTCTTTTTACAGGAAGAATCACACTTGAAAGATCTTGAAGAGACTGAGCACTGTCTATGCTATTTCCTCAGCTTGAAATAGTCTGTGCTACACTCACCTCTAGCACCTTCTCTAACACACAGATCTTTCCATACGCAGTTCCCACTGGTCCTGCAAACTTGTGCATCTTGCTCTTTTATACACTATAATTCCCACTCCCCTGGCATAATTGTTTACCCTTTCTGTCCCTCCCAAGTAGCACACACCAGAGCATAGTTGCCACTGCTTATATTTGTATTTATCTCTCCATTTCCCCCTGGAAGATAGACACTGGATCTTAATTTTGTTTGTGTGCCAATACAGAGTTGTTGTACAAGAAAAGCATTTGAACAGTGAACAAATGCTATATTCAGACATCATAAGGATATAATCCTCTGCTACCATGAAGTCTGGAAGGAGTATCACTTTATGTTTACATAAAGCAAACTCTAAAGTTGTAGACAATAGAGAACTAGAACAGGAAAGTAGAAGTTTAGATGGGGAGGATGCTTTGCTGATTTGAAAGCAATGTTCCTAAAAAGTTTAAATCAGGCCTTCTTTCCATTTATCTCACTGTAATTCCAATTCTAAATTTGTTACAATATTAACTAATTTATAGTTAAAGAAATATTTAAACAGTCCTCCCATTTGCATGATATGTTTTAAATTTAAGACTATTTTAGATTATAATGTTAATAAGTCAAATATTTATAACATTCATATAAACATGACTAATATAGCAATGACATTCTTATTATTCTCACAAATCTATTGCTTTATTCTGGTGAAGAGAGAATACAGTTTTGGGCTGTATTCAGGGGACTTCTGGAGCTGGTGAGTGATATCAAAGGCATCAGAATGTAGAGTGGAAGCTTTATATAGGGTTGTTGACATATATGGTTATAAACTAGCCACCTGCTCAAAGAACCTTAAAAATATAAACCACTTTCTAAACTAACATATCAACCTAGGGTAAGGTACAGTCAGTCATTCAAAAAGTGACCTATTACATAGAACACTGAGGTATTCTGGAAGCTATCATTTAATTTCCATTTGCAACGCTATTTTCCAACAAAAGAACTACGTATATGATTTATACTTTAAAAAAAAAAGCTGGAAGTTCTGGCCTTATGTGAACTCTGTGTCTTCTGCTGGGGAAGGCCTCTTGGGCCTGACTGATAATCAGATAAGAGAAGTAAAATGCAACCATGATTTGAAGGGGCTAAGCTCTTAGTTGCTAAACCGTGCTAGCAGGTATATGCCCATTCACACAGGTCCCCTCTTCTGGAAATCGCAGCAGGTCATTAGATATTATATAATCTGTCCATTTCTCAAAATTAAAAATAATACATAATTAATTTAGATTATCCCTAGGATGACAGTATTCATAATGGTCCTTTCATGGGTATGTAACTATATGTGGAAATAAACTTTGGCTAAGAAGGCATAAAATTGAACACTGTGGGGAGCCTGGGTGGCTCAGTCGCTTAAGCCTCTGCCTACAGCTCAGGTCATGATCTCAAGATTTTGGGATCAAGCCCCACTCAGAGCTTTGTAACAAGCTCTGCATCAGTGGGGTGTTTGCCTCTCCATCTCCTCCTACCTTTCCCTCTCCTACTGCCTCTCCCCCTCTGCCTCTCTCTCTTTCTCAAATAAACAAATAAATAAATAAATAAATAAATAAAATATTTTTAAAAAATTGGACATGCTATTATATATACATATATATGTATACTTTAATGAATAAATGAGAAACAAGACTATAATAAAAGCTCTAAATCCTCCAGTTGAATTTTCTCAAAACACAGTTTTCAGCTCTCTAATGTCAAACTTTTTCATTAAAATAAGCATTTAGGATACTTAAATTTCCTATTGATAATGATTCTAAAAAATAAATGTTTTGTAAATACTGTTATATTTCTATATAGTAGTATGTTATATTATTATACTATCATATTCATAATTAGTAGTATATTATACTTCTTATTTCTTATATTTCATACATTTTAAAATGTACTTATACACTTAAAAATATATTAAAATAAACATTACCAGATTTTGGGTAGGACACCAGAAATACATCATCTTCTCTTGCACTGAAAAAATCCAGGGAGTTTAGAAGTTCTTCTGAAGACATAGTAGAAAAGAGAATCCCCTTGAATTTATGAAGAACACTTGACTGGTTCTGGAATGACATCTTTCATCAAATGAATCAAAAAGTATTTACTAAACACTAACTTTACACAAGGAACAGAACAAGTAACGTCCTTGATGATAATTCTAGCTCACTCAGTGGCAGAATGATCTTAGAATTACTGAGCTAGTTAGAGGTATATTTATATGTATACATATATATATACACACATACATACATATATACGTTTTGCAATTCTTCACAAGAGTAATTTTTAAACCAGAACTAAGCCAAAGTCTACTGTAAAAATGATGTCACCTGGATTTTCTTGATAACATGTTGCAAAATATTTCCTTCAACTTGATATTCAAAGAGTTTACATACAAGGCTATCAAGCCATCAGAATGTAATTATTATATGAAAGGACTAGAGTAATCAAATCCTTTGGCCTTAATAAGAAAATAATTAGTGGCTCTAAGGAATTATGTAACTGTGGAAAGGACTACAGAAGTTGAACTTCTTGTTAATATTAACACATAGTAGAGGAACTAGCTAATCGGTATTGCGTTGCAGGAAGGGAGAGAATGTAGTGAGAAAATACAAATTTTTCATAGAATTGTCAGATAAATCTGTGACTAAAGATAAACTTCATGGGAAATACTTTAAGAATGATAACATGGCTGCCAGGGTGGCTCAGTCTGCTTTTGGCTCAGGTCATGATCTCAGGGTTCTGGAATCAAACCCCACGTCAGGGTCCTTGCTCTCTGCTCACAGGGATCTTGCTTCTCCCTCTCCTCCCTGCTCATGCACCCTCTCACTATCTCTCTCTCTCTCTCAAAAATAAATAAATAAATAAATAAATAAAGTCTTAAAAAGAAAGAAAGATAACATAGGAACCAGAAACACAAGCAAGAAAAGAGATATCTTGAGCTTTGATGTATATGGGAAGTTCGTGATTGAATTAAACAAATTTTGTCTGAGTCATTCTTTGCTTTACTAATATCGTCGTATTCTGGATTCAATAGGATATGACAACAAAGTGCCCAATAACTTCAATGAACCACAGTTTAGTATTTTTGTTTGCTCGTCTGACCATCAAAAAAAAATGTACATCAACAAGGAAATGATGAACGTGTTAATTGAGCATAAAAAAGTATACGTCTACTGTGAAAGAAATAATTGAAGAAAGATATTCATGATGGTGGCAGAAATAAAATTCAGAATAATTGTACACATAGGAAATCCTAAGAATCTACCATTAGGATAAACATGTAAATTGGGCATGGTTGCTGCATTATGAAGACAAATTGTATTTCTACATTCTAGCAAAATCAACTGAAAAATAAAAATTTAAAAACACTACTATTTATAATAATAAGAAAAACAATGAAATATCTAGAAATAAATCTAATAAAAGGTGTGCAAGGCATTAAAAGCCACAAAGTATTACTGAGACTAGTTAAAGAAGACGTAAGTAAATGGAGAAATATACCATGTCCATGGACCAGAAGATGGACTATGATTCAAATGTCAAAACTCTCCGTATTGATCTACAAAGTCAACTCAGTTCGATCAAAATCCCAACAGGCCTGCGTGTGTGTGTCTGTTTGTGTGTGTGTGCGTGTGTAAATGGACAAGCATTTACATGAAAATGTGAAAGCAGCAGAATAGCCAAGGAAATCTTAAAAACAAACTTGTAAGACTTAGATGATCAGATTTTTAAGCTTTATCATAGAGCAACACTAATTAAGACAGAGTGGCCTGAGCTCAAGGATACCTATATAGATCCATACAGAATAAAGAGTACAGAAAAAGACCCATGCATAAATCATCACTTGATTTATGACAAAGGTATAATTCAGTAAGAAAAAGATGGTCTTTTAAACGAATGTTGCTTTGTTCAATTGGATCCATATGGGAGAAAAAAAAATCTTACCTTACATCATATGCAAAGAATTATTCAAGATGGATTATAGAATTAAATTTTAAAAAAGGTTTCTAGAAGAAAACATATAAGAAAATTTTCATGACCTTTTGGCAGGTAAATAATTCTTAAATATGATACACAAAAGCACTAACTATTAAAGAGAGATATTATAGTTGAGCTTGATTAAATTAAGAGCCTCTGTCAATTAAAAGGCACCATTCAGAAAGTACAAGGCAAGCCACAGACTGGAAGAAAATAGTGTAATTGAATATATATACATATATATATTCAACATTATACTCGTTTCCAGACTCTTTAAAGAACTCCTGGTAATCAATAATATAAAAATCAAACAACTCAACAACAACAAAGAGCATACCTCTGAGTAAACTATTGGAAAAGGGTTCGACATCATTAGTTATTGAGGAAATTGAAATTAAAATTAGCATTATGGGAAGATCCACTCCCACAGTGTTGGCATGAGAAGCTCTGTGGACCCACTCCTTGAGGAAACAACCATAAGAAATGACAACTATTTTTTAAATAAAATAAACATTTAGGGACTCCGGGGTGGCTCAGTGGTAGTGTCTGACTCTTGGTTTCGGCTCGGGTCATGATTTCAGGGTCATGGGATTAAGTCCTGCCACTGGCTCTGGGCTCACTATGGAGTCTGCTTCAGATACTCTCTTGCTCTCTCTCTCCTTTTGCCCCTCCCTCCCATGTATGCATGTGCCCATTCTGGCTCTAAAACACATGGATAAATAAAATCTTTAAGAAAAACTTAAACATTTAAAATCTCTAGGAAAAGGGTCGCCTGGGTGGCTCAGTGGTTGAGCATCTGCCTTTGACTCAGGGCGTGATCCCGGAGTCCCAGGATCGAGTTCCACATCGGGATCCCCGCAGGGAGCCTGCTTCTCCCTATGCCTGTGTCTCTGTGTCTCTCTCTGTGTCTCTCATGAATCAATAAATAAAATCTTTAAAAAAAATAAAAAAATAAAATAAAATCTCTAGGAATGGTTCAAACTCAGGAAGCAAATGAAGATACATTTATTCAAGAAAATATTTGCAAATGATATCTCTGGAAAAAGATTTGAGCCCAGAATGTGTAGAGAACACCTACAACTCAATAACGAAAAATCCCCTATTACAAAATGGGCAAAGTCTATACTGTTGAGTATAACACAGGCCCCGGGAAAGGCTGAAAAGGCAAGGTAAAGAAATAGGCTGCATCCTGGAAGGCCTTTGCACTACACCAGGGAGTCTGAACATTGTCCAGAGAGCTATGGGAACTAGCAAAGATCTTAGGCATGAGTGAAGAGATAAGATGACATCCTAGAAGGACCCATCTGCTTGGATATGGAGGTGGGTCGCAGCTGATTCAGACTGAAGACAGAAACTAAAGCAGAAGCAAATGATGATGAGCAAAGAAGAGCAGATCTTACTGTGCCTCCAAGGCAGAGTCTTGAGGAATTGGTGGCCAATTAGATGCAGTGGATGGAGGAGCCAATAAGGCCACAAAAGTGGCAATCCCACAGACCAGATGCAGTCTGCATATTTTCTGTGTACCTTGACACTCAAAAAATTACATTTGAAGGGCATTGGCCCATCCAACCCTGTTTGCTCTAGTCCCCACCATTCCCTATTCTCTGTGGCCCGGCTGGACTCTACCTGCCTGGTTCCTGAAGGAATGACCCTATTAGACAGTCTTCCCACCCCCTCTAATGTTTGGTTATGCTGGGGTTGTGAAGAGACACATGGCTGAGGAAGGACTAAGCAATAGTGAGGCAAGGTGACTTCATTTCTCCCCTCTGACCCTGGTTCTCCCACCATCCCTGACCTCCAATCACCACCCTACCCCTACCCCCAGACCTTTGACCAATCTCCATTGGATTTTCTGTGGAAAACATCAAGAAAAGAGGAGGAATCTGGACCTTTTCTCTCATAGATGCCTTGAAAAGCTTGCAAAGCTCTATTAGGCATCTACTAAATTCCATGTCAGGTTGCTAATCTTTATTGCAGTATGGCAGGAATCTAGGATGACTTTTATTTTACAGGTGAGTAAACAGGTGCAGTTTAAGTAAGCCAAGTTGCCGATATGCTTTAGAATACTGCGTGGAAGTTTCTTAAAAACAGAGGATCAGAGTATCCCTGGGTGGGTCAGAGTTTTGGCGCCTGCCTGTGGCCCAGGTTGCGATCCGGGAGTCCTGGGGTGGAGTCCTGCATCGGGCTCCCGGCATGAAGCCTGCTTCCCCCTCTGCCTGTGTCTCTGCCTCTCTCTCTCTCTCTCTCTTTCTCATGAATAAATAAATCAATAAATTAAAAAAAAAACCAGAGATCATAAAGCATGGGGTCATCCTTTTCCTAAGCCATTGATTTTTTTATAGCCCTCATTTACATTTATGATAGATTCAGAGGTCCATTCACCAGAATCTCTGACCAGCAAAATTAGTAAGAATTATAGCTGATTTATATCTCTGCCAACATAGGATACTGTATAAATTGGCCGCAATCATATTGGAAAGGTGTTTGACAGTAGTCCCTTTGTCTGTTGCAGGTTACAAAGCACCATAAAATGTAATGACTTACAAGCAACTAATTTGTTATCTTTCACAATCCTGTGGAAGATACCTGGAAGTAGTTCCAGCTTCAAACGTCTCAGGCAGAGGGCACTTGGGTGGCTCAGTCGGTTAAGCATCTCCTTTCAGCCCAGGTCATGATCCTGAGATCATGAGGTCCTGAGATGGAGTCCCGTGTGGGCTCCCTGTTCAGTGGGGAGTCTGCTCGTCCCTCTCCCTCTGCTCCTCCTCTCCCATTCCCCCTTCCCCCACTCCTGCTCTCTCTGTCTCAAATAAATAAATCAAATCTTAATTTAAAAAAGAAGAAACACTACCCAGGCAGTTGCTATCAAACGGTAGTAAATATTGGATTTTTTGAAGACTTGACTGGCTTGGCATAGAAGAGAGCGTGATCACATGGTTGGCAGTCCATTCTGGGTCTTTACTGTGAGTTAGGTGGCGTTCTCTATCAGAGCACTTACCTGTGGCTTTTCCATGTGGCTTGGGCTTTTTGCAGCATGGTGGCTAGATTCTGAAAGCAAGCATCCCCAGGGGGAGTGCTCCAAGGGACCAAAGCGGAA